CCAAGTCACGTATTTCTTCTCACATCCTATTGACCTGAACTTATTTATGTCACCACAGGTATCTGCAAGGGAGACTGGGAAATGTAATCCGGGAAACCGGGAGTTGGTAACATGGTGAAATAGCACATGGCCAGCTCAAAACTGCAAGGCACTGCCAGGAGGAGTTCTGTTATTAAAAGAAAAACGGAGAGACTAGATCCTGGGGAGACAGGAGTTTAATTTTAATGGTTTCCATTTTAATTTATTTTTCTTCTTGAGAGCAAAATAATATTCAAATAATATTCTTATCTTTAAATATATCTCAAAATGAGTGATTTCAAGAGGTAAAGACTTCTTGGACACATCTGTTGAATCAGTTCTCTAACACAAACCAAGAAGTGAAGGAGCAGCAGCCAGAGAAATGTTCTAAATCAGATCTTTTCCAAGGTAGCTACAATAAAATCATATATGAATACTAAGAAATATTAATGTACACATTAACTTCTTTTTTTACCTTACAGTGAGACAATTATTAAACTTAGTTCTTACTTTTTCAGTCATTTGAAGTTGATTTGAAATTATTTGAAAACCATAAGGGTCATACTTAATTCATTAGCTGTCAGTATCCTTGATTGAAATCCATGTGAAATCAAATCAAGTGCTAGTGTAAATAGAGGGCATCGAGTATCTCAAAGAAAATTATGCAAAAATCAAGATGAAAGCATTTTGCTTTTATCATTAACGAGGTTCTTCATCTAGGGAATGCTTTCCACTTAAAGTAAATGGGTTTTTTTCCTGGTGTGAGCAGAAGAGAAAGAGTGGTCCCTGTTGCCACAGGACAATGTTCAGGCTGGAGAACAGCTCTCTTCGGGGCCACCTGTGTTCTTATCTATTGGTGTCTCTGGGAATGTAAGGGACAGAAACCCTGCTCAGATTAGCCTGTGTGTATATAAGGGAATTTACTAGCTTCTAGGTGGAAAGGATACCAGCATAGCTTACAACATCAATAAAGAGCTATAAGAACCAAGCCCTCAGGCACTGACACCAGAGATTCCACATTACCAGGGTGTTCTTTTTCATCTGTTTATTTCAGCTTCTAAGTGCATATGTGTAGAGGGCTTCTAATGAGATGAGTGTGGCCACCTCAACAAAAAGAAAGAGCTTCTTTATCCTAGAGTCCATATAGCAATCCCAGAGAAGGACTCTGATCGGATCTGATTGGGTCATGTGCCCACACTACGGCAGAGAAGAAGGTGGATAGGAAAACTGACCGGAAAGGTAGTTGTCCACTACCCCTTTCCTTACCAGTTTTGAATGATTCTGACAACCTCAAGCTGGAATGACCCAGGAACAAGTTCTGTGAGCAAGCTGGGGTAGTGTCTCTGCATGTTTCTCTAACTCTTCCAAATGGTACTAGAGCTACACTTCAGCTTGAGACATACAGAGACAAGGTATGGGAGATCTTCTCCCAAGCCAGAGACATACAAGGAAGAGAAGTCCTGAATGCCCACTCCTTGTTTTTATTTCTAAACCATATCTTTTAGCTCTTCTTCTACCCTGTTCATCACAACACTGACCATGCCTTATGATTACTGGTGTAATTCTGACTTCATTGTTTTGTTTTCGTTTTTAAGACACTGACAGTGAAAAATGGAAGCCAGAATGGTAGGATACTCTAAAATCAACTGACTTGTCACTGGGTCTCATATATTTGAAATGAATCACCCATTTTTAGCAAATGAGAATGATTCTCAAAAGTTAATGGATTTTATCAAGGATGACATTATCAAGGATGACATTTGCATCCAGATCTTGGTATAATTTCCTCCAATTTTATAGTGAAAATATCAGAGAAAAGTGAGAAGATATATGAATAAGCCTGGCAATGTAGCGTGGAAAATTTCTCCTTATTGATTTAGAGAAATATTCAAAATACAGTGCTAAGTAGAAAAGTGAGCTGTATACATTTATGTGGACATAAGCAAATACATACATATTTAGAGAAGGAAATAGTAATACACCAGATTTTAACAGTGGTATCTCTGCAAGATAGGATTGTGGGTAGGTTGTACTTTTTTCTTTGTTTTTGCCAAGTTTTGTACACTGAACATGTATTATTTTTGTAACTGGAGGAAAATTTTATTTGGAAAATACACAAATCTTTGACCATTAAGTCTACTCATAAATTTGTAGCTGTGGATAATGTAGTGTGAAGGGAATGAAATAGGATCCTTGGGCTCCAGTTCAAGGCCAGAAACTCCCTAACCTTGGACAAATCTTATCTTCCTTCTTGGCCTGGGTCCTACCTCCATAGAATGAGGGGTTAAAGCAGATGACCTCTCAGGACTGGTTGAGCTTCAGACTCCTACACTCTACGTTAGAAGAACATTGCAATTTGATCTGCTGTAAAAGCTATTCCTTCATGTGGAGTGAGAGTAGAGTAGGGGAGGCAATATCATTGCTGAAGATGTATTTATTAAGAGTCATGTGGTAAAAAAAAAAAAATAAAAGTGTTTGTTCTGAAATCTTTTTTAGAGTTACCTAGCAACCTAGAGTTGCTAGGTATTGTGTTATCTTTTAATATGTGAAATTTACATTTGGTGGCTGTTTACTTATTAATACTTATCTATAAGTGAATTACTAAGAATATCTTATTATTCTGAATAATACCCACATTTTATTAGGAAAATTCTCACTGTGGGGCACCTGGGTGGCTCAGTCGCTTGGGTGTCCCACTTTGGCTCCGGTCATGATCTCATGGTTCATGATTTCGAGCCCCGTGTCAGGCTCTGTGCTGACAGCTTGGAGCCTTGAGCCTGCTTTGGATTCTGTGTCTCCCTTTATCTCTGTTGCTTCCCTGCTCATGCTCTGTCTGTCTCTCAAAAATAAATAAACATTTAAAATTTTTTTTTAAAAAGTAAATTCTCACTGAGTATGTGAGAGTTGGCCTCTATTGGCTGGCATGCAATAAGGAATTTATTGCAAAATTTACTTTTGGCCCTGGCATTGGTGAAGAAGGAAAGATCCAGGCAGCCAAGTGCTCCCAGGCACCTCTGCCTTCCTATTTTCTTTCAGTCAGCATTGAGAGGTCATTCAAGAATGAATGAATTCTTTATACATGTGGGAAAGAGCCAGTAGCCAGGCTTGAGAAAGGAGCCCAGTCTGGCAGTACCCGTCAGCCCTTCTTGCAGCCAAAAGGCTATCTCCTCACTGATGAGTGTCCCAATGCCAGAGAAAATGTGCCATTCTCAAATCCAGTACCTGAAGAGTAGATCTGTCAGGTTCCAATGCTTGTATTAAATTTAATACTACTGGGGCGCCTGGGTGGCTCAGTCGGTTATGCGTCTGACTTCAGCTCAGGTCATGATCTCGCAGTTCATGGGTTGGAACCCCACTTTGGGCTCCGTGCTGACAGTTCAGAGCCTAGAGCCTGCTTTAGATTCTTTGTCTCCCTCGTTCTCTGCCCCTCCCCCACTCATGCTCTCTCTCACTCTCTCTCTCTCTCTCTCTCTCTCAAAAATAAATAAATGTTAAAAAATAAAAAATAAATTTAATGCTTCTAGTGAATAACAATAAAAAGAAAAGGATTTGAGATCTGATATTTGCATCTGATGAATACAAGGGGGCCAATGGAAATGTCACCACCACAACTATCTCTGACTTGGGACCATGAAAGCTCTTGTTGAGGCAGGACCCATAAACTTAAACTTGCCCAAGGACTCCAGTAACTCAGCCAAGAAAAAGAGCTGCCAACATATGCCTTTCTATGCAACATGCTGAGGACTGCAATGTTCCTATACAAACAATGTCATAGACCGTGGTTGCATTCCATGGTAGCACATTAAATCTGATTTAGTAAACCTGTTTGTTTGCTTTGTATATTTGCCATGAAAGTCAGTAGAATATACCTCTGTATTTTATACATTACAGTTCAACTAACTTCTGAGTTAATAAACTTTTATAAGACTAGCCTGGGCATGGGCATCTGACTTCTATATTTTTTCCCTAAGTTTTATAATTATAGCTGTTGCATTTAGGAAAATGAAGTCCTAATTTCCACCTAACATATAAATGAACTTCCAAATAATAAACTCTGTGTAAATTGGGAAATTAGTGTGCTTTTTTATCTTTTTAAATTTTATCTCTTTTTTGTTTATCCTTGTTCAGATTTTTGTTCCTAAGAGTAAATGATCACATTCTAATATGTCATGTTATCAGTATTAAAGACATCCTGGTAAGGAAATCTCATCAGGAGTCTGAACATCTACCTGTTGAGTTGCTACAGTTTTCTTCTTGAGATTTCCTTTTATTGGCTTAGATATCTTATTTTGACTTATTACCTTGGCAAAGACCATGTCCTCTTTACTCTGAACTGCACCAAGGACATTGTCAGCCCTCAGTAAATATTTCACAGCAGAAGCATCTGCAGCTTAAGGTGGTCTGGTTGCTGAGCATTCCTACCATGTCAGGCAGAAGTAGTTTGAACCAGGACAGAGAGAGTGGTCTGCTTGACCTAGGAAGATGCTCCAGGCATTCTTTCAGTATAAGCATGATCAGAATTATTTGTGACTCTTCTGTGCAGCCTATTCCTGTGTGAAATGGGTATGAGGTGGCCAATGAAGCACTTTTCCTGCTGTCTGTATCGCAACTAACACCAAGAAGAAAAATAGAACCTTCAGTGTATTTCTACCCTACTTTGTTCCCCCAAAGTATGATCTCAACAGGTTTCTCTCTCCCAGAGATATCATTGAGGGCCCAGATATGTACACAACCAATCTGTCAGTGAGGAGAAGGACGTGCCAAGAAGCTACTAAAGATTGTGAAAGAGAGAGGCAGCTCATTCTTACCTGGGAGGAGGAGAGACTGTGAAAGGTGGCTCTCAGTTGGTCCTTAAAGATGAGCAGGATCTGGAAGAGAAGCAAGGAAGAGACGTTTCAGGCTGAGTACAGTATGTGCTAGATCAAAAGGACAGGAAAGCACCCCTCTTTTTAATTCCTGGTTGCCAATCTCTTGTGTTCCAGAGGAAAGCCAGCCGGCATACAAAAGGTGAAGACAGGAACAAAGTCACCAGCAGGAGCATCGGTTTGGACACAGCCACATCACAACCAACGGACAGCAGAAACCCACCTGCAGAGTGCCTCCTCTCTCCTTCTGGAGAGTGTTGGACAAGAGAGAGGAGGCCGACACAGTACAGCAGCTTCTCTGGCTTCAGCAGCAATGACAGTGTCCTACGGGAATTAGATGACGGTCAGTTTGACCAGGAAGATGGAGTAACTCAGGTCACTTGTATGTGAGCAATGAAGTAAAGCAATGGAAGGCCCTGTAAATAACTATTAAAATAATTGCCAACTGACTTTATTGTATTACTTTATCTGCATTTATGTAATACTTAGAATTTTTCCAGATTCTGGCTTTCCTCTAATCTGCATAAACTTTGGCTCAACCTCCCAGACAAGGAAGAATAACCAACGTATTTGTAAATTTAGAATCATGTTTACACTTCTCTCAACTAAAACATCTGTTTAAACAGATGTCTCATTAGGTTATTAACCAATAATCTACTTCAGTTTCTCATGAATGTACAAGATGTACTTTTCATTCATTTCCTGGTAAGAAGACTAAATATATTAGCCAGTATTTCACCTAATTAGAAAGTTCTCAGGAAGTCAAAATCTTACTTAAGCTGAAAAGCAATCTCTCTCTCTTTCAATCCCCCTCTCTTTCACATACATGTAAAGGGCTAATTAATGAAATACCTATTTCCTGAATATAACAATAATCCAAATTTTGTTTTTAACTATAACATGTATATACAAAGCAAGCCCCTGTTTGTGAAAATATTCTTCCAAAAAAAATCCTTTTTGTTTGTCTTTTTTTGGGGAGAGAGAGAGAGCAAGAGCATATAAAAAGGGCAGAGGGGCAGAGGGGCAGAGGGAGAGAGAAAAAGTTTAAACAGGCTCCACACTTAGCATGGAGCCCTACATGGGGCTCGATCCCAAGACTCTGGGATTGTGACCTGAGCCGAAATCAAGAGTTGCACATTCAACCAACTGAGCTACCCAGGTGCCCCTGTATGTCTTTGCTTTTAAAGAAAGGGTCACCATGTTACCAACTCCATACTGATTCACTGAGCTTAAACTTTATTGCTTCCAATAGCTTAGAAATAGAGCAAAGCAGCATCCCTTAAAATTCAATATGAAAAGAACCCACAATCTCAACATTTAGAAACCTTGGTAGAAAGAAAGAATTTATTTTAAATTGCAGATAATATGAAGAGCAGAAAGGTACTTACAGCTCCATGTGTATGGAGACCCATCTGTTCCATCTCTGCTTTTCTTGCTCTCCTAATAGGGATGGCTTTGCCTTTCCCAGCCTTTAACAGTTAGAGATGAAAATTCTACATAATAGAGGATCTTCATGTACCTGTGAAAAGCTTACTTGGAAATGTGGGAATCTTCGAGGGAATTACAACTGACTTTGCCATTGATGAATTTAGCATATTATATATTTTTATTAGCATTGGTGTTGACATTATAAGATCATTTGAATAATAAAATGTCATTTGTTATTGGGTTATCGTTTTCTTGAACACAAATGCTCATTATACATTTTATACATATGACAGGTACATATTACATGTATAACTAAACTAGGACAATCTCCATGAATTGTTGATAAGATTAACATGGAATTATCCCACTTCTACCATGCAGAAGCATTATCTTGATAAGTATAAAAGAACTTAAGAAGATTTTGCTTAGTAGTATTCTTTGTAAATGGCTATTAACAATATTTGCAGAAATGTTTTCTTTGTTTTAATTTTCAGATGAACCTGAGTCCCATATTCAAGGGTTGGTAAGTTTTTGGTAGAAACAAGCATTACTTCTGCAGCCCACACAATGTCATGAGTTATGAAACAGGGAGTGTTCTCAGAAATGTCAGTTTTCACAATGCCAGGGTCTACAAGAGGTGGACACTCCTATGTCATTCTGTCAGTATATAGAGGGGATTTGAAGTATTAAACACAGATAGAAATTTATATTTCTAATTTAAAGGAAAAGTCAGGAATTTATCAATCACTTGTAAGTTTTTTAATTTGTGTTAATCATCTTTTTTTTTACAGTTTGCTTTTAATCTGTATTATAATGAAATAATGACCAAGGTTTTAGAGCATTTAAAATATATATAAGTAGCTTTGAGTCTATTCTTTAAAAACAAAAAAAAAGTAACAAAACTTGGACTCTATATGACTAAGGAGTTAGATGCGACCAATCATTATCTGTCAACTATATATTTGGTTCTTTTCATAATACTATGTAATTCTAGAGGCCTGGCATATGAATTTGTAATACCTATAAGTTATAATGATAAAACATCAAGATCATAGATGTGGGTGTGAAGTTCTGCCATTTTCCTTGGTGCAGTATCTCCTGTCTTAGGTCTCAATAACCACCTGTTAGGGCTTTCCCATTTGGATTGAATGCCACCCTGTTATCTTTCATGGCAATATTTAACACCTACTCACCAGAAAAATCACCACTGAGCTGATGAGCAGCTCTATCAATACCACAACAATTCCCTTCAGTATAAAATAAATGGAAAAATTAACAGGGTTTCAAGAATCTTCAGACACCCATAAAAGCAGGAGGTAGAGCTATAGTCAATCCAGATCACAGCTAACTCCAAATCTTTTATCAGGAGCGGTTGTTTATATATTTGAATATAAATGTACCAGATGTGTTTTCATTTCTTTCATTCTGGATGAGCTGAGGACTGTCTCATTTTCCTAGCCTTGACTGACTACCCTGATTCCTCACTACCATTCTCTCAGGGCTGGAAGGACTGTGGCTCTTTCAGCATCAGGCTAAAAAAGATTTCCTTCTCTCAACTCCTCAGGGCCCCAGAGTATCCTTGTATGAAAAGGCTAATCAAGTGAGAATTCAAATGGAATAGGTGCTAACAGTGGAGAAGGCCTGTAACTAAACATGTTAAATCAATATACTCCTCGGTATATAGGAAAACTAGCTAACTGCAAACTACCAGAATTTAGGGCACGTCCATTTAACTAATATTTGTTGTGCAACTTATCACAATTTATTGAGAGTGAAATTTATTGTGCAATTACCTAAAGTTTATACAGCCAGTTCTGACATATGATTAAGTTCTCAGATGGTGTTTGATGGTGGAATATTAGGCGAAGCTCTAAAATAATGAGCCTGGTTTCTGCTACGGTCATAAACTTCTTGTCGAGCCAATTCCAAAAATGGATTCCAAAAATGTTTTGGGCATTAATATCATGGTATGTGTAAGTATTAAGGTGATTCTTTGTAGGCTTATATCAACTAACCAATACAAGCAACAGAAATTGACCTTGGTTCATTTAGCATTAAAGGAGTTTAGTTCAAAAGGTAGCTAGAATTGGACTTCATCAAAATTTAAAACTTCTGTTCATTAAACTCATGGTTTAATAAATGAAAATGCAAGCTGCAGACTGGGAGAATATGTTTGCAAAGCACATACCTGGCAAAAGATTCATAATAAGAATATATAAATGGCTCCAATAAATCAATAACAAAAAACCCCAGCACCCAATTGTAAATGGGCAAAAGGCTTAAACACTTAATGAAAGAAAATATAGAGACTTCTGCTTGCAGAAAGATGGGAGTAGATTCCTCCCATGAAGTATGTATAACTGAAACCCTGAGCATTACACAAAACAAACATAAGATGACCAGTGGCAAGTTCCTTGATTTTATTTTTGCCTCACGTATCTCAGACTTGAGACCTGAAGAAGCCAGCAATCTTGAAATGCCAATGTTGCCGATCAAAAAACCCTAACAAACGCCTACCAAGACAGCAAATATTTAGACTATAACCACTCTACCCCAGCCAAACACCAAAGAAAAACCTGCGACCTCACCCCAACCTACACCAGTACAGATGGAGTGGGAAGCATAGATTGATTATACATTGGCTAGGGTGATGTCAGAGAAAGACGAGCAAGGAATCATAATTTCATCCCCACTGGCCCTGCAGCCCTCACCCCAAAGTGTTAGTGGAGGTCCTGTGAGAAGCTTGAACTTCACCTCCATCCAGTAGTAATGAGGCATCTCTCTCCTTCCCCATTATGGTATCAGAGGAAGCTTAGTGAAGAGTCAGGACTTTATTGCCCAGTGGTAATGAGACCACTTCCAGAGTTGTCAGTGGAGACCACATAGAGAACTGGAACCCCCACCTGTGCCCAGCAGTAGGGAAGAACACCCCTCTCATGTGTCAAACAGAGGGTGAGTGGGGAACTTGGTCTTCTAGCTCCACTCAGAACTGAGTAGATGGTACCTCCCATTCCTGAACTGGAGTAGTGTCAGAAAAAAGCCAGCTAACATAGAAGGTATAAATATTTAAGATCTATAATCTCATAATATGAAAATAATACCTAGTTTCAATATAAAATAATAAAAACCAAGAACCAGAAAGATCCAAAACTAAATGAAAAAAATGCAAAAAATAGATGCCAACAATATAGTGATGTCAGAATTAACTTTAAAAGGTTTTGGAGCACCTACGATGAAGATGCTTCAACAAACAATTATGAATGTGCTTAAAACAAATGACAAAAATAGAAAACGTCAGCAAAGATATAGAAGACATAAAGAAGACCCAAATGGAAATTTTAGAACTGAGAAATGCAATACCAAAATAAAAAGGTCATTGGATGGGCTCAACAGCAGAATGAAGGGGACAAAAGAAAGAGTATCTATGAACTGAAAGAGCAAAAATGACCAAATCTGAACAACAGAGAGAAAATAGACTTAAAAAAAAAAAAAAAAAAAAAAAACAGCCCCTTCAGGGCTTTGGACTATAACAAAACAACAAAAGATGTAATATTCCTGTCATTAGTGTTCTGGGGGGAGGATTGGAGAAAGGGAATGGGGTTGCTGAAAATTTCCAAATCTGGTCAGAGACATAAACTTACAGATTTAAGAAGGTGAAACTAATCTATAGTGACGAAAATCAGAGTAAGAGCTGCTTGTGGGGTTGGGGTTAGGGTGTGACTATTGACTCAGTCCGTTCAGGCTGAGAATACCACAGACAGGGTGGCTTTTAAACAATAGAAATTTACTTCTCACAGTTCTGAAGGCTTGAAGTCTAAGATCAAGGTGCCAGCAGATTCAGTGTCTGGTGAGAGCCAACTTCCTTGTTCATAGACGGCTGTCTTCTGGCCGTAACTTCACAGGGTAGAAAGGGCAAGGGAGCTCTCAGGGCTCTCTTTTGTATGGGCATAAATCCCATTCATGAGGGCTCCACCCTCATGACTCAATCGCCTACCAAAGGCCCACCTCTCAATACCATCACA